AACCCTAAACCTAACCCTAAACCTAACCCTAAACCTAGCCCTAAACCTAACCCTTACCTTAAGTTGAATCGGCTTTATTTCTAAGCACTATTTAAAGAGCCCTCCTTTCTCCGCACTGGCTGTTGTCGCCCTGTTGATGACGTCAGCGACGCGGGTTAATCGGGCGCGGCTTAGTCGAGCGCGGTTTTGACGGGTCACGGGTAGCAGTATTATAATAAGAGCTGTTGTTCTTACAGCGCTATTGCTTCTTTCTATCATGCTTCACAAGTGTCTTAAAAACTGTACTTCAATCTTCTCCAATCTTCTGCACCTTTCAGAGGTGTGGGACATAAATCATTCTTGTTTTCTAGCCAGTGCTGTTACTGAATATTCTGTCTGTGAGTGTTGGGAGTTGTAGTTCTATCGCACCTGGAGGGCCTGGGGTTGGGGGAGGGTTGTGGTACAACATGGGTGGACATGTGCTTCTTTACAACAGTCCCTTTAACTCCAATTTCCTAGCACTATAGGATTGCTCTCAACCTCCACCCCACCATCTTGCATTCACATCTTGTTGGTTATGCCCTTATTTCAAGGAGCTAAAGAGAAATCCAGCCCCACTGAGGGACAAACCCCCCTCCCTTCTTCTTCTTTTCCATATTTTTAAAGTTTCCCCCATTGCTTCTTGGGAAATCCCCCTGCCCACCCCCCTTCCCAAGGTCCCACTTTGGGGGGGTCCCTGCCCACCAACCCTTTTGCCTTGTGTAACATACTTTCTCTTCTACCCTAGTGAAAGACAAAGAGGATACACAGGTGGATTCTGAGGCCAGGCCCATGAAGGATGAGACCTTTGGAGAATACAGGTACAATAAATCATTGTTCCTGTTCAGGGCTAGAAAAGAGTATAAATTGAACCAAATAAATGACGTACATAGTTCCTTTGTTTTATAATATACACCATTTCCATGATCAGTTGGGATTATCCTGATACAAATATGTATGGTTTGGGTACAAATTTAGCCTTAGATTATTTAAGTCTTTGAGGTTATCAGCCATAGATTTAAGGGCGTGAGGAAGCAGTTTGACAACACAACAAGAATGCAAAAATACAGAGTGGGAATGAGATTCTAACGAAAAGCACATTAACTTGCCAACAGATGGTTAATGTTGGGAGGGGGGCAGGAGGAGATAGCACGATTTACTTATGAATAATTCACTTATGAGATCCTGTCAGCAAGTTTTTGGTGGCTTGGTCTACCAGAGCAGCAAAAAGATGCTAGTGCTGTCATTCACAGTGCATCAATAGAAGGCTGGGGCTATCAAGAGTGCTAAATTATGCTCACGGGTATAAGAAGATAACAAAAAGGACAAGGATTGGCAATGAACTAAAGGAAGGGAAGTTCATAGTGTTTCGCCTTTATATGCATATATATATCTTTGTCAGTGGTGGGTTTCAAAAATTGTTCGAACCTACTCTGTGGGTGTCGCCTCCTTTGTGGGAGTGGCTTGCCGTCCAT